CGGGATGCCCCAGGCTGGAGCACCAGCCAAAGGTCCCATCTGATTTGGTGATCCCCTGAGGGTTTTCTATGATACATCCACTTCCTCAGGGTTGCTCCCAACGCTGAAATACAGTGGTCATGTCCCCCTGGTGGGCATCAGTTTGTCAAAATAAAGGTTGGAGCAACCCAGTTGACCCAGTTGCTGGGTAAATACGTAGCCATTTACTATCATTTACGACAGCTTCCAGGATGAACAAACCTCCACTTCTTCATGCTCAAACCTCATGTGTCTTGATGAATCCTTCGATTTGGTTCCTTCATTTCTGGTGACTTTCCCAGCCACATTTGATTACCGGGTGTTTCCAAAAACCTCCCATGATTCTCCATGAAGTTCCCATGATTCTCCAAGTAAAAAAACACATCAAGACCATCAAAAAAAAAAATTGGACCCATGATTTTCCCACGTTTTTCCCATGATTTTCCCATGATTTTCCCACGTTTTTCCCATGATTTTCCTATGATTTTCCTATGATTTTCCCATGATTTTCCCATGTTTTTCCCATGATTTTCCCATGATTTTCCCATGTTTTTCCCATGATTTTCCCATGATTTTCCCATGATTTTCCCATGATTTTCCCATGGTTTTCCCATGGTTTTTCCCACGTTTTTCCCATGATTTTCCTATGATTTTTCCCACGTTTTTCCCATGATTTTCCCATGTTTTTCCCATGATTTTCCCATGATTTTCCCATGTTTTTCCCATGATTTTCCCATGATTTTCCCATGATTTTCCCATGATTTTCCCATGATTTTCCCATGATTTTCCCATGATTTTCCTATGATTTTCCCATGATTTTCCCATGATTTTCCCATGATTTTCCCATGATTTTCCCATGATTTTCCCATGATTTTCCCATGATTTTCCCATGATTTTCCCATGTTTTTCCCATGATTTTCCCATGTTTTTCCCATGATTTTCCCATGATTGTTCGTTTTTCCCATGATTTTCCTATGATTTTCCTATGATTTTCCCATGATTTTCCCATGATGATTTTCCCATGATTTTCCCATGATTTTCCCATGATTTTCCCATGATTTTCCCATGATTTTCCCATGTTTTCCCCATGATTTTCCCATGTTTTTCCCATGATTTTCCCATGATTTTCCCATGTTTTTCCCATGATTTTCCCATGATTTTCCCATGATGATTTTCCTATGGTTTTCCCATGATTTTCCCATGTTTTTCCCATGATTTTCCCATGATTTTCCCATGATTTTCCAATGTTTTTCCCATGTTTTTCCCATGTTTTTCCCATGATTTTTCCCATGATTTTCCCATGATTTTCCCATTCCCATGATTTTCCCATGATTTTCCCATGTTTTTCCCATGATTTTCCCATGTTTTTCCCATGATTTTCCCATGTTTTTCCCATGTTTTTCCCATGTTTTTCCCATGATTTTCCCATGATTTTCCCATGATTTTCCCATGATTTTTCCCATGATTTTTCCCATGTTTTTCCCATGATTTTTCCCATGTTTTTCCCATGATTTTCCCATGATTTTCCCATGATTTTCCCATGATTTTCCCATGATTTTCCCATGATTTTCCCATGATTTTCCCATGATATTCCCATGATTTTCCCATGATTTTCCCATGATTTTCCCATGATTTTCCCATGATTTTCCCATGTTTTTCCCATGATTTTCCCATGATTTTCCCATGATTTTCCCATGATTTTCCCATGATTTTCCCATGATTTTCCCATGATTTTCCCATGATTTTCCCATGATTTTCCTATGATTTTCCCATGATTTTCCCATGATTTTCCCATGATTTTCCCATGATTTTCCCATGATTTTCCCATGTTTTTCCCATGTTTTTCCCATGATTTTCCCATGATTTTCCCATGATTTTCCCATGTTTTTCCCATGATTTTCCCATGATTTTCCCATGATTTTCCCATGTTTTTTCCCATGTTTTTCCCATGATTTTCCCATGATTTTCCCATGTTTTTCCCATGATTTTCCCATGATTTTCCCATGATTTTCCCATGATTTTCCCATGATTTTCCCATGTTTTTCCCATGATTTTCCCATGATTTTCCCATGATTTTCCCATGATTCTTTTGTTTCCTGAAAACTCCGGTCCCGTCCGTGGCACTGCGCCGCCGCCAGCATCAGCTCCTGGATCTCCGGCCCCGGCACCGGCACCAGCCGCGGCGGCGCAGACGCGGCGCCACCGGGGAAGGCCATGGCCGAAAGCCGGGCCGCCGGGCCCGGAACTGGAAAGGGGTCTGCGGCGCCTGCGGATGGGGAAATCCATGGGGAAATCCATGGGGAAATCCATGAGGGAATTTTGGGGATTTTTTTTTTCTGGATTTTTTCGGAGGGAATTGTTCGGAAGGAATCCCAATCCGGTTCCGGAATGTGATGGGCATCTGAACAGGAAATCGTTGTTTTTTTTTCACCTTGTGACATGTCCGTTTTGCCTAGTCCACCTCAGAACGGGGATGATTTCGCTTGCAAAAATGATATGATTTGACCATGGGGAAACTGAAAATTTCAGGGGAGATCGACCCATTTCAATCCAAAAACTTGGAAATTCCACCAATAAAACGTTCAAAACTTGGGAGATGTGGAAGTGAACTCATAAAATGTCGAGAATTTCCACACTTTCCACCGGATCCTCCAGTTGACTACGCTGGGTGTCCGTGACTTTCCTCTGGAGCGCTTTCAAAAACCGAGGAGGCCGCACGTTCCGCGGCACGCCTTGGGCAAAAAAAAACGGGGCAGTTCTGATCATCCAAAGGTACCTGGTAACCCATGGAAAAATGACGCTTTTTCGGCTGTTACAGGTGGTTGTTTTTTAATGAAAGGTCAATAAACCATTGAAATAATCCATGAAAAACTCGGGGGTATTCCATGTATAAATGAGTCTTAATTCAGGTGGTTCTTACCCACTTACAATGCCTCAGATGCACAACCAAGTACAATAAGGTCTTGTCCAATCGGATGCCCTTTTGGCAAGAATATTTCAGGCTAGTTTGGCATACCATTTCTCATCATTTACCATTGCAACCAGTAGGAATTCTACAGGAAGCTGTGGATTTTGCCTGGTCTTGTCGTCTTTTACAAGTCCTGCCCACTTTCAATACCCTCCATAATCAAACATTGCAATAGAAAATCCCATGTTTATAGATGATTTTCCCATTAAAACCATTTTTCTTATACTAGCAGCGGATTTCCATTGCCACGTTTGATCACCAGAGGGTATCATGATGTTTTCTCATGTGCCATCTATTTTCAAACCAACCCACAGGGCATCCAACCACCAACGACAGCAAGGCGTCTTGAACAAGGGATGAGCGAGCGCTCCACCCTCTGCACTCCGCACGGCTTTCTTCAGGTCTCCAACGGTCCTAGGTGACCGGTCTCCAACGGGGAATCACAGATGGGGAAAAATCACCACCCAGCAGTTGCCATGGTTTTGTGCTCTATGGGCTTTTGGGTAAGCGTGGCCCCTCAGCTCCACCATCCATGAATCCATGATCCATAACGTGGGCATCCGAATCGAATGATCCAAGTCCACCGGCGATGCCAGCATCACGGACTGAAAATCAAAGATATCAATGAGACGGATCTGTACCAAGAATGGCGTTCTCCTCATCATCATCATCATCATCATCATCATCATCATCATCATCATGATGCAACAATTGGGAGCCATTTGGAGCAATTTTGCAGGCATTTCAGGCCTCAACCATTTTTTTGGAGGCACACATGCTGTTTGTATGATATATGATATTATATATATGTATATATGACATATATGATATATATATATATATATGATATATATATATATATGACATATATGATATATGTGTGTGTGTGTGCGGCTTACCCTTGCATCCTTTGCTCATCAAAAAACAACTGATACCCAGCCATCAATCATTCCCCGCCAGGCATCGACCGATGTGCAGCCGCTTCCTAACCGGCTGGGGCTGCCAACAGGTACAAGGTGAGGCCCGTGGGTTTGTGGGTGATACAACTAGGGTTAGTACCCTCTGGTAATTTAACATAGCTATTAAAAATGGCCATAGAAATAATGGATTTTCCCATTGAAAATGGTGATTTTCCATAGCTATGTTAGTTTACCAGAGGGTAAAGTTTATAAACCAACTTACGACGGGCCTCACCTGGTATGTGGACTAAATATAGGGAATGTCACAGTGGTGGGGAAATGTCAAAGCTGCAACATCATAAACAGATTTGGTGAATATCCAAGATGGTTTCCAGAATCACCCATATGCCCAGGGTGATATACACACCAACATACCAGGACAACCCAGGCAAGACCGTCCACTTTATGACTAACAATCCAGCCTTCACTTGGCTCTCAACACCAGTTCCCACAGCCATAGCTGCACCAAATCTGCGGTGAATGTTGGTGGATGTAGTGAGGTCCATTCAGTTCCAGGTCTCTGAATTTTGGGAGGCGATTCAGTCAACTGATGATCGCTGATGGTGGCAACTGCACAGCTAAAGTATGGTGTGTGGCAGGATCAAGGTTGCCAAGCGCCAACTACAACATGGAAACGGAGCCGAGAATGGCCACAATTCCACGTGAGTTGGTGAAAAAACGCTCAACGCGTAAAAGCCCGAGATTTGCTCAACGAATGATGTTGCTATGGGTGGCTCTCCATGGAAGTGTTTTTCTTCGTGGTTGTCCTGGTTGTCTTCCTAAAAGGTCACGATTTGTAGTGAAATCTCAGGTGCTAGGCCTGTTATGCCAACTTCGGCTACAAACTATGCACTATTCAAAGTTGTACGCCCCTCGGTCTGTCTGAAAAAAAGGGTATGGCCCCCAAATTGCCGTTTCATTCGCCGTTTTTTGAATGAGAAAATGATGATCGACCAATGGATCTAGTACTTACACCAACAAACCCATGGCTGATCAGGCCCAATCGCTCATGCTCCCAATCTTCAGCACAAAAACAGGATTTCCCACGGTCATCTTTTTCCGCAGGAAGACCTACCGTTTGGAACGGCGTCTCGGAATCACGCACCTGCCGGGCTGGCGATATTTGTTGCTGCTGGGCTTCTCCCGCAACATGACCGAGACAACATCTGTAGGAACTTGGGAACTTGCAAAATTCAGCCAAAAAAAAGCATTGCAGGGACTTCGTACTTCGTCAAATCATATCAAATGACGGGCCCAACAAAAAACGGGCCCAAGCATACCTGTCAAAGCTCAAGGCTTCAGAACTTCAACGCCGACTGATAAACCCAACAGGTAATTCACTGGAGATTGGTGGAGTGGGGATCATCATCCCAGTCGCTGATCTTTTCCAGATGAAAACCAGGCTGGTAAAACCACCTTTAAAAATCAAGAAGTAAAATCACCAGCCTTAGTATCATTTGGTCATCATGTAATTGTCCGAAATGTGTGAAACGATGTTTTTATAGATGAATACCCTTAATCCACAATGCCATCAACATCCACCATATCCATTATATTTTGGGGGGGCTGGAGCTTCCAAACGGTTGGCCCGCCAGACATTCACAGCCAACTATCCATTATTCATGGCTTAAACTTCGGTTACCATCTGGTTATTTAACATAGCCATGGAAAATCCCAACCATAAATGGAGGTTTCTAGCTGGGAAAATCATCTATTTCTGTGGGCCATCTATACCAGTTCGCTATGTTAGTCATAACCAGAGGGCAACTATTAACCATTAACCATAGATTGTCCATATATTAACCCTTTAACTATTATCCATAGGTCAAGTGGATTAACCATTTTGACATACCCTCTGGTAAACTAACATAGCTATGGAAAATCACCATCCTTTAATAGGTAAATCAACTATAAATGGTCCATTTTCAATAGCTATTTTGATATAACCAGAGGGTAAGCACCATTTTGACTTAACGATTTTTTGGATGGTTCAAGGTGGTGCCCCATTCATCGCTGCTGAACGCTCATCGACTCATCGCAGAAATTTCCGCCTGTGACGGTGCCCAAGTTCGTCTCGCCCACCTTGGGCATCTCCTGAAAGTTGAGATGGAAAAGATAGGATGAACAAGGCATATCATGATATTATATATATATATTATCTTCCAGATTTCTATGTAACAATATTATATATATAATACATGATGATTATATATATATACATATGGTATAATCGACATCATGTATTGTAAATATTTATCATGATACGGAAAACCTTAGGCAGAACAAGTATGGGGTGAGATACAATAGTACCATGATAATATATGTAAAATGGTGGAATATGTTTTCATGAACCATCTCCCATGGATTGTTTTTGATGACCCCCAGTCATGAAGGGTTAACCGGGTGGTGTATAGTTGGGTTTACCACATTAAATGGTTCAGATGTGCCAATAGTTTCTATTCAGTTGTAACCCTGATAAGGTGAATTGTACATCGTTCATAGCTAATGTATGGTTTGGAATCCTAATATAATACTGATGAACATGGTGTGTCTTTTTGTGTATGTGTATGTGTATGTGTATTCACGTGGCTTTTCCCAGGAATGGAGTGGATTTGGGTGATATCCTGTTTTCATACACGCCCACTTGGTGAATAAATTGATTCTTGGTCTATAGATAAAATCCTGATGATATGGTTCTTAGGTGTATGTGTGTGCACCTAAAGGGTTGATCTAAGGAGAAAACCAGGGAAAAACCTGCCCTTTTACCAATGAAATATGGGGTTCCTATAAGTTTTCCTTTTAAACCAAAAGCCAAAAGCCATCTCCGTTGGCAATATGTCAATCGTCTACGAAGAGGTCCGCTTCGGCGTTTCGACAGGAAGACAATGATGGTCGTTTTTCGGGGAGCGATATGGGAAGCGAATGGGAATGGGTTCCTATCATTAGCCCCTGGAAAGATGATAAAAGATTGGAGGCAAAACTGGGCATTGCACTAAGGAGTCTTGTGCCCAAGAGTACAGCAGGATGAGCATTAAAGTCTGCGTTTCATCAACAAATGAGTCCAACACGCGAGGGAAACCTTGTTTTCAATGAACATATATCAGCAGCTATTGGAAAATTCGCCAAATGTTGTTGGCTTTCATGGGCAAAGTATAACGCCAAAAATGAGCATCAACCAATTGTTGTTTGTCAATTATCTCAGATTATCTCCCCATATTGCTCCAGATTAATGAGCGGAATATGAAATCCAAATGTTTATCATCATATTTTTGAATTTGAATGTTACCCTCTAGTAAACTAACATGACGATGGAAAAATCACCATGTTTAATGGGTAAATCCACTATAAATTGCCATTTTCAATAGCTATTTTGATATAACCAGAGGGTAAGCCACCTCTTCTCATAGTGGTGGTATTTTTGTTGGCCTCCCAGTCCTCCCAAAATGGTCCACGCTTTGGGAACTCCGCCATGGCCTCTTCAGAAAAGCCCCAGGTCGGTTTATCACTACCGGGTTTACGGATGTTTACGGTAGATATCCCGAACTACTAGCAGTAGCTCATGAATGCTGATGGCTGTTCATGGCTTCATTTTTGACGACTTACAACTGGGCAGCACCTTGAACAAGCCAAACAAAACTCAATGATTTTTGGGTGATCAGTGAAGAATCCAAAGTCTATACAAAACACTTAGTAAAATGGAGCAACTCAAACGAGGCCGACCCAGGAGCGCGTTGGTTGCGCATGAATTATTATGAGTGAACCCATTAGAAATGTCTCGAATCCCAGGCCATTCTGAATCCGAGAAGCCTCTATTTTACAACATATTCCAAGCAAATTCGCCAATTTCGAATGATTTTTACCCTGATCCACCCTCCAGCTGTTTTTGGTGCCTCCAAGTTCTTCTGCCGCAGCCTCCGACAGGACTCGATCAGCGAGCTCAGGGAGTCCCAAGCATACTGCGCCTGCAAGGGGTTCACCTGGCCGGCCGCTGGCGGCTGCGATGGCGCTGTTGATGAAAAAATCTGCCCCCTATGGTTACTCAGCTGCTTTTACATAATTCCAAAATGGAACCATAGAATATGTTCATGACTTAGCTATGGTTACTTAGCAGTTTTTTTTTGTTATGTAAAATTGACCACCTATACGGTCTATATGTCTATATGTGATGTATAGTGATTTACTAATTTACCTATTAAAAATTGCGTTTTTTCATAAGGTAATCCCACAAGGTGCCATAGTTAGCTAAGTTGGTGAACATAACTCCAACAGTTCGGCGTGATGATGACCTAGGCACCACCTTCCAGTCCCCCCCGTAAATGGTACTGACATGGTTTCAGGATCCTGGGAGATAGGATTTTAACCATCAACACGATAGCATTCTGATAGGGATATGGCGGATATGGGTGGTAATCCCATCACCATAAGATAAAAACCCGAGTTTTGCTGCGAAAATTCAGGAGTCAACGGAGTCGAGTCAACAAGACTTGGGTGATTCCCAGGTCATCCCAGGTCCACTTCAAGTATGTGTTTATAGGAAATCGTATCGATGATGAAAACAAACAGATCCCAACCCCAGATCGAATGAAATCCTTCATGACTCAAGGATCCAATTTTCACCAGGGCTCCGTATCGGAAAAAAATCGGCAAAACATGGGGGCAAAATACTTTAAAAATTGGAATCAAGGCACGAAAACCAATTTAAAAAAAGGACATTGTTTAAACATGGCAATGCGAAAACTCGATGTTTGTTTCTGATCCATGACCTCGTAACCATCGGATAGAATTTAATTTCATAGCAATTCCCAATGTTTTTCGCCGCTGCCACCGGGATTCCGCACCACGCAGTCTGCCACCTCCGGTGCTAAAGTTTTGCCTAACAAATGGGGCAACTGGTGGCAGGTGATATGGAAAAAAATGCTCAACCCCAAAAAGTATAATTATCTGGAGAATTTATGAAAATTTTGCATTGGCTCATGTTGTTTGGAGCAGGATCACCTCGAAAAATATAATTTACATAAATTGTTTCTAAATGTGTTGAAGTGAAAAAAACTAACAGCAAGTCGGACTTTGCAGTTCTGCTCGCGTCTTACTAAGTGACACTATCGACACCTGACACAAAAACTTCAAAGAACTGGGAATTTAGAATTTCCCTGTCGAATAGAACAATGACATCCCAAAGTCCAAAAAATGCCCGCCAACAGAACTCATTATACCCAACTATCCATTCCATTGTTGGCTTTACCCTACTAGATTCTCATTGAGGTTCTGATTTTTTTTTGATCATGTCATTATTTCCCATATTTTCCCATATTTCCCCATATTTTTCCTATATTTTCAACCATATTAAGCCACCATTTTCCCATATTTTCCCCACCAATCCCGTTATCGCTGCCGATTTTTTTTCGCCAAGCGACTGGGCGGTTCGCTGGGCACCAGCGCCTCCGAGGGAACTTTCAAGCTGGCCACCAGCGTGCCTTGGTGGATCAACTTCTCGGGGGGTCAGAAAAAACTTTTGTCATTGATATTGATAGGATAGGATGAGAATTGATGATATTAGATATATTATATGTGTGATGATCATTGATATAATTTGATATTGTAGTGATTTGGTAAATGTGATGATCATTGATATAATTATCATACGTAAATATATGATATGATGAACATATATATTTTTTGGAGTTTTCACCCTAATAAAATTTCAAAACACGAGTAGAGAACATATAGCACGCACATACAAAAGTGTTGACCGAATCCCCTGTGGCAAGAATGTGCGTCCATCTTGCAACAAGAGAAACAAAAGCGGCTTCGAGCAAAACATGTCGTTGGGGGTGTCCAATCGGCCAAGGATTTCCCCAGCATGGTATTTTGCTCATAGTCATCCATTCCATCATGGGGAGGCCGTTTCCCAATACTTGGTGCAAGTGCAAGCTTTGACGATGGCACATTTGAATTCACCATGTCCGAAGGTTAAAACACACACATTGAACTGATGTAGTGACCCATGGGACGGACATCGAAACAATCCTGCTTTGTGAGCAATAAATGAAATTCGGATCTTTATGTGTATCAATATGTTTTGGTCTCAGACGGGCTCAAGCGGTCTTTTTCCATCCACACATTTACTAATCATTCCGTCTTGGATTACACTTGTTTCGAAAATATTAAATCCAGGGTCCATTTTTGGTGCCCTAGGCCCCACAAGCTCAATTTTGTATGAAGTCCGGTGCCAACCCCTGTCGTTTCATTAACGTTATATAAGGTAGCTGGGTTTCAACCAAAGCTGCTTGGATGCTGAGCCCTCATCCCCTTAATGTCACCCACCTATTCTCCCAACACCCCGCCTCCGTAACCACCCATTTCTGCCACTGCTTCCGCCATCGAATTTGCAGGGATCGAGGCTCGCCGAAATGCAAGTTGATTCTGTTAGGTTTTTTTTGGACATACCAAATGACTATCAATCACGAACTTCGCGCTGATCATATATCATATATGATCCGCATCGCATGCTGAATATACTTTTCGGCTCCCATTTTTTAATGGTCATCCAGTGCCTGGGACTGGTGCCCTTGAGCCCTGGCCCCTGGCCACTCGAATTTAATTTGACCACGTTCCTTTCAGAGAAAGTGTCCTGCAACACCATTCTTGCCGGATGTGTAGCAAGGGTTCCCGTTTCACTCCGGGGGTCTGGGCTGGGGGTTCAGGGTGTGTTCGCTGGACGTTGCATCTGCGTCCGCAACCGTCTGCGACCGTCCGCAACCGCTCGCAACTGTTCACAACTGTCCGCGTGAGGGCCCTATAAGGCCGAAAAGTTGTCACTTTTAGAAATTTCGAATGTCCCGTCGCTTCGGTTGGCATGGCAGGCGTCGTTGTTTGTGACATTCCAACATGTTTCACAGCGTATCGAAAATCGTTTTGTCTGACAAGCGCGATACTTTTGCGTCGCTTTCAACCAATGAGTCACGTTTCTCGTTGCAGGTGCCGCATTTTGGAAACCTACCTCAAAATGTTGCGCGGCACGCGCAGCACGCTTCATCAGACGAGACATCGATTTTGATGTCACAAATCTTGAGGTTCATGGGAAAATTTGTATGAAAAAAAATGATTTTGTAGAAACCGCCTCTCGTTTGAGACATTTTTCAAACAGGTTTCAATGTCCGTTTGCGTGCCAGGCGTGGGGTTTCGTGACATTCTTACGGGTTTGATATGGTGTCGAAGGACGTTGCGTGTAACCGGCGCAAAACTTTCGCGTGGTGAACACGTGTGCCATTTGGCGTGGCAGGGGCAGTATTCGGTTCAGATCCTTTTTGTGTAGCAAGCGCAGTATTTCCGACAGTCCACTGCAAATTCCACACTCTACACTTGACACTCCGCACTGAACACTCCACACTTTTACACTTTAGACTCCGCAATCCACTTTTTTTTGCTCTTACGCCCCACCCCACTCCGCATTCCACTTTGCAGGGCAGTGGTATGGCAACAGGGAAAATTCATAATTAACCCGCCAGCGGCCGGACACATCACGTCCCTGACGTCCCTGACGTCCCTCACGTCCCTCACGTCCCTCACGTCCCTCACGTCCCTCACGTCCCTCACGTCCCTCACGTCCCTCACGTCCCTGACGTCCCTGACGTCCCTGACGTTCCCGACGTCCCTCACGTCCCTCGCGTCCCGCACGTCCCCCACGTCCCCGACGTCCCTCACGTCGGTCGGGAGTTCGCTTCGAGCGCCGAAAAGTGAATCGCTTAGAGCGCCCGGAAAGTGGAACGCTTGGAACGCCGAAAAGTGAGATAAGATTGCAAATTACTTGAAGAAGAAGATGTTACAACATACCAGGAACGTCTTGCAAGTTACTTCAAGAAGATGTTACAACGTAGCAGGAACGTCTTTCATGTTACCTGACGAAGATGTCACAACGTACCAGGAACCTCTTGCAGCTAATTGAAGAAGATGTTACAACGTATCACGTATCAGGAACGTCTTGCAAGTTACTTGAAGAAACGTTTACAAATTTGCAACGTATCAAGAACATCTGGCCAGCTACTTGGAACAAGATCTGGCAAGGTAGCTGGATCGTCTTGCATGTTACTTGAAGAAGTTGTTCCAACGTATCACGTATCAAGAACGCCTGGCAAGTTACTGGAAGAAGATGTTACAACGTATCACGTATCAGGAACGTCTTGCAAATTACTTGACGAAGATGTTACAACGTATCAGGAACGTCTCGCAAGTTATTTTCAGAAGATGTTACGACGTACGTTCTGGGGTGGGCCGTTTCGTTCCAGACCCTGTTCCATACCCGTTCCAGATCCAGACCACTCATGGCTACCGGTTGCGTCCTAGCTAGTTCCAGAAAGGTGCACGAATAAAGGTCTCGTTCCCTGGTGCTCTAATGTAATCCACCATGCTGGTCCCCTAAACCCAGCCCCGTGTCCCCACTTGTGCCCTTGTCGCAGCTCCGTGTCCCCGCTGGTCCCCTAAACCCACCCCATGTCCCAGCCCCGTGTCCCGACGTCTCATACGTCTCTGCCGTCCCTGTCTCACGTCCCTGACGTCCCCGACGTCCCTCACGTTCCCGACGTCCCTCACGTCCCCGACGTCTCACGCGTCCCCGTCTCACCTCGCTGACGTCCCTGCCCCATGTCTCTGACGTCCCTGCCCCATGTCTCTGACGTCCCTCACGTCACTCACGCCCCCGAGATTGCCCACGTCCTCCACGTCCCTCACGTCCCTCACGTCCCTCACGTCCCTCACGTCCTGTCCCTGACGTCCCTGACGTCCCTGACGTCCTCGACATCCTTCATCTCTCCACGTTTGCGTCCCCGAAGTCCCGCCGTCTGACTTTCATGTACCTGACATCCCCGATGTGAGTTGTGTGCTGTCGACCTGTGACACATAAGCAATTGCTATTGACAAACCGTGAATTTGTAAGCTGTTGAACCTGGACAAGGAAGTTTAATCCCACTTATGTTACTGCAGAGCCGTAAGTTTGTGAGTTGTCGAACTGTGACACATAAATAGGTTTTTTCCCAATCACTACTGACAAGCCGGGACTTTGCAAGCTGAAAAGTAAGATATGAAACGTCGAACGTTTTTGAGTGCCAAGTCTGCAGGATGTCAGTTCTAGCTGCTTGCGGCAGGGTCAAAACCAGGACCACCCATACACAATGACAAATTAACAATTGCCGTTTCCCAATAGTCATTTCTCAATAGTCGTTTCCCGATTCCTGACGTCCTCCACGTCCCTCGCCCTCACCTCCCTCACGTCCCTCACGTCCCTCACGTCCTCCACGTCCCTCGCCCTCACGACGTCGGAGTCCCCGACGTCCCCGGCCACAGGAGAGTTAATAGTCTGAAAATTCACCACACTCTTCAAACTATTTTTCTCGCAAAAGTATCCGGAGTGTTCACCGTGACTGCATTCGGGTTCGTGGGTTGCATTTCGTCTCATGAAAGTGGGCAATTTAGTAACATTCCCGATCACACGGCACCTTCAAGCGGATGCGTGCATGGAACCTTCCGTTCCATTTTTGTACTGCAACATTTCCCATCCCACCCCTCCCCACGGTCCCCGCCTCACTTTGGTCGCCTCATGGCGCATCACCTTGGCACACTCCTCATACTTTGGCCGTTCACTTTTGGCGCCCGATGACGCGGCATCATTCGTGGGGATATGTGATATTATTGTAATTTGGATTGGTTTGGATTGGATTGGGGGGCAAGGATTGGGGGGTTCATGGGTCACATGCTGCTGCAAAACTGTACATACACTTGTTCGAAGAATTGCCATTCTGGCCGAATCCGTGCAGCTGTGACTCATGACATCCGAAAATAGTTCATCGCAATTTTTTCTAAATTGTCATCCCATCGTTTGGATGGACGACCTTGCCTACGTTTGGGTTCAGTGGAAAAAAATTTGCTGCCACTCATTGCTTGGAGTCCACGTGCTTGTTGCTGCAGCCCAGGAATTTTGTTGATCGAAAATTTTTGTTGCGACACGAAACTGCTTGCTGAATATCTGCCAGGACCATGGTTTGCATTCCCAAATAGTCATTGCAAAAGCGATTTTCCTATTCATCCGGGACATGGTATCGGACCAATCTTCACCGTCATGTCGTATCCAACCAACAATCAATCGAAACATTTTCCGTTGTAGTTTGTCCACGGTGTGATGGTCAGATTTTGTCAAAGGCAGGGTAGCCAAACCAAATAGGATTGTGGGAGAGACAACGGCATCAAACAGTTGCAAACGCAATTTGAAAGCAATGTGTTTGTTTGTGAGAATACATTTGTATTTGTGAAAAGTCATCCAGCCAATTTGGATTCTGTGTTGCAGTTCGACCAGGCCGCGACGCTTCAAATGTCCGGAGATGGTACGACGAAGATATTTGTGTTTCTCCTCGCCCCACAACACGGCCAACAAAACCACAACCATCGATGTATAATGGATGTTGCAAATACGAAGTCGTGAACTATTTGGTTTTCGAGGTATTCAGCTGCAAACCCACGCGGTTGAGTTCCACAACCAGTAATTCCATTATCTCCACCAGTTCTTTCCACGACTTCGCAAATAACAAAAGATCGTCCGCGTACCGGATATTTGTGAGTCTGTCAACAGCACCAACGTGTAGACCGTGTGATTTCAAAGATTGTTTCCAATTTCGCATGGCATGTTCCAGTCCAGAATTGAACAACATAGGGCTCAAAACATCACCTTGCTTCACTCCACGTGCGATGTCGAAAACACAATTGCTGCCGTGAACAATTCCGGATTGTCCAGTGTACAGCCGGCGCAACACTTGAAGGTACGTGTCTGGAACTCCTTGTGCTTGCACTGCTTGAAACAAAGAATCATGTTCTATGCGGTCGAAAGCTTTCTGTAGATCAAGGCTTGCAAACCAGATGTCAGACTCCCAGGCCAAACATTTGCCACAAACGTTTTCTAAAACCACCATCGCATCATCAATCCCAAGACCACGTCGAAAGCCAAGTTGGTCTGCTGGATGCTCGTGTTCCAAGAAAGGTGCCAAACGATTCAATAACAACATAGCAAAAATCTTGTAGGTAATTTTCAATACTGCTATTGGTCGCCAATTACTTGGTTTCGAGGAATCCCCCGTTTTTGGCAACATTGTGCTGCGGTACCAAACTGTGTCGAATGAATTGTTCATGATCATCGTGTTGAAGATATCCAGTAGGCATTGCAGTAAATCTTCTCCGGCATAAATGAACATCTCGGCCACAATGCCGTCTACATCGGCACACCGTCCAAATTTCAGTGATGAGACCACCGTCTTCAATTCAAGGAGGGAAAAAATTGGAATAGTTTCCGTGGATCCGCCTGCTGAACCGTCTAGCCCGGTTCCATGATCAGAAGAAAAAATGTTTCCCAACCAATGTGC